GCTGCTGTGAATACTCAGAAGGGCTGGGAGGTTAGTTCCTTAATCTTAATTATGCAAATTCTAATGACCATTGATCAACAACCACTGACCAAAACCTACTGATCAAAGACCACTGATCAATGGCCATGAGTACCATTCACTTTTTGGAGATTTACTTCCCTGGATGATTGAGAATGCGTTTTAACCCACTTTGGCAAGGACGGCCTAAAGCTTGTACGTCAGTATAAGCAAACAGCACGTAAGATGGCAGACTATAGGAACCACCTGAGATTCAGCCTCAGATGCCAACAAAACCGGATTACTCCTAAAAGTCTGCAAATGAGCTCTTCAGTTAAAGGCTTCCGGGCAACAAAAATCCTCCAGAAGGCACAGCGTCAGTTGCTTAATGAATGGGTGAGGCAAACAAATTTTACCATCGACATGCTAAAATCTCAAGAGGAGCAGATCCGACAGAGACTGACTATGCTTTTAGATGAGAATACTCTTAAAAAGGTGTTTGACTTTACTGAGAAGGCTCGTCTAGCACAGCACAAGAAGTCTAAGACCAGGCAACAAAGGAAGTTTGACTTACTTGTTGTACGCCAGAAACCGCCGCAAAATACGGAGAGTGTCCTTCAGCGACCAGAAGAGACAAGGATGCGACACCGAGGATGTGGACAAGTGGGTGAAGAATTTGTCTGACAGACAGCTCACCCAAACAGAGAAAAACATCCTTGCTAAAGGGTTGAACATTAAGATTAAGGAACTGACCTCCCAGCCCATTGTTCCTTCAGTGGGCTGGTTTCAGTCATTATGCAAATGTACTGTTTATAAGATTGGGGAAACCTGCAGTCAGCTGAGACTGAAGAAGTCACTTGGATGAGTGACGAAACGTTTCTCCCACAAAACGCTATGTCCAGATGAACAGAATCAACTTTTTGGAGATTTACTTCCCTGGATGATTGAGAATGCATCAAGACGTCTTGTTCTCCTCTTCCTTGAGTTCCCGTTGTTCCCTAGTCAGTCTCTCTGTGCCAGTCACTCATGTCTCCATGCCTGTTCACCTCTGTTTCTGTGCCAAGCCCATGTGTCTTAGTCCCGGTGTTTATATTAGTTACTTCCTGTTTTGTTTTGATAGTCCCTCACCTCATGTGCATTATTTTCAGTTTTGCTTCCTCTGTCTTGTTGTCCCTGGTTTGTTCCTGCCTTGTTTCCTGCCTTGCTGTGCATTTACTGTGTCTGTCTCCCTCTTGTCTTTGTCACGCCATCCCTCACACCTTTCTAGCTGAGCTCCCAGCTCTGAGGTCCCACTGGATGTGTTTTCACTTGTTTAGTGTTTAGAGGGCATATCTGCTCCACTCCTGAGTTCTGCATTTGGGTCCGGCAGCTGCTCAGATAGTTTGACTTCAGCACTCTGGGTTTAAGAACAAAGTTCACCCTCAGCATTTGTCAACCTTGTTTCAAGCAACAAACACACAGAAAACTTTTCTCTATGATGGTGGAATCAAAGCTTTCATTGATCAGGTCAGCAAACATGTACGACTTCTACTTGACTCCACAGCGTGTGATGACACAATCTTGTGCTCTCACATTTTGACACACACAGGCTTGTTCTGCTTATACCAGACAGCTGTTCCAGCTGTGACAGAGACAAGAACATGCTGTATGTAGATGTTTGCACACAGCATAAACTTTTATATTTCAAATATTCATGTACTGTCACTGAGTGTTTCTGTGGTGTGCACAGTGCGGTGTGGGTCACAGACTTCGCCATCACTCAGTTTTGGCTGGAGCTCAGGTTTGTGCTCAGCTGCTGCATGTCGATGCTGTATTGCTCCAAAGCAAGAAAAGCATGATAAAAAAGCAAATATTGCAGCTTCTAGAAATAATCAGTGCCCGGCCTGACTGTGGTCTGTCCGCTGAACTCCAAACTTGGTATTTCTGTGACCTTTGTGTGTCCTCATAAGTCTGACTGAGGCTGCTCTGCTGCTGTATCACAGCTGTATTCTGTGGATA